AATGTAACTTTTCGCCACTAGAGGTTGTTTATTCAAAATGTAACTTGATTTCGGGGAATTGACGCAGTCTTACAATGACACAGAAGTATAAATCAAAACCAACGCGTAAGAGGCTTCGGCATTGGTCCGAAGCAGAAGTATAAATAAGCCTTAACTGTGTTGAGCTGTATAACAATGATTAGTTTAAATTCAATGATTTAAAGCGTCTTTGGTGTTGTCATGGTTTTTACAAAACAAAACCGGAAATCGAGGGTAACATAGTAATTGATAGTTCATTGAACTGCTTATTTCTCTGGATTTAAACATTCTTAGAAACATTTGGGATAATGCAAGTACACAAATCAACAAAATATATTCATAATGTAAAAAATATATATATATATATAGCGTTGTTCTAGTGGATATTTTGATCCAAAAAGCTTACATAGTGTGCCTTTAAATTAATAAATACTGTACATTCCTCAATAGCAACAACGATATCATCATCTCCAACAGGTAATGTTGTTCCACTACAGGGGATCTGACCAGCATCCCCAAACAAGCATGACACAGCACTGGCAATTAAGCAGAAAGTGATTAATCTCTAGCACAGTGAGAGGGTAATAAAACTAACAGGCATGAAATGAGGAGTGCCATGTCATTAGCAGAAGACTCCACCCCCGCTGGCTTGCTTGGGCCGCAGCTCATTATGGGTGGGAATAATGTAGCTCCTTAGGTAGAGAAACTTACACTAACCTCTGGCCCTCTGCCTGTCTGTCATTTATAGATCTACAACTTGATGCTCAATAAACAAAAGCTTTTTTCATTTCGACAAGGCACACAACCGCTGTTGTTTTTACGTAGGATTTTAATCTTTGAGTCACGGTTTTGCTGCATTGGCAACATTTGGAATATAAAATAAAGAATTGATGTGTATAATCCATTACAAACAATCCCATTATTCCATTGTGCCGTTCCATCACAGCGCTATAAAGACATCAATTCAAGGAGTGACATTCCAGCTACTCTGACATGCAATCTAGAAAATGGAGTGCAGTCATTATTCTTATTTCATGACGTGATCCATCCTGCATTCAAACCATAAACAGGATCTCAAAAACCAGCATATCACACATCATCTTCCACAGTAGCTTTAAAGAAAGTATTCAGAATTTTTTCTTGTATACCTTGTGCTGTTTCTACATCAACTGTTTTGTGGTGGAAACACGTGCAACTCCTTACAAATATCTTTGGTAACACTTTACAATAAGGTTTAATTTGTTGTATTAACTAACATGAGCCATGAGCAATACATGTGTTGATGTATTTGTTCATCTTTGTTAACACTACAAAAAAGTGTTTGTTGTTTGTTCGTGTTACTTCACAATGCATTAACAAATGTTAACAAAATACATCTTTTGATTTTAATAATGTATTAGTAAATGTAGAAGTGCACTTCATTATTAGTGCATGTTAACTTGTGTAGTTACAGTAACACTTGTTACATATGTTAGATGTACTTACCATAATAGTAACTGTAAATTATGCATAATTATGCAACTAACCCTCAACAAAACCCTAATCCTACCCTAACCCTATAAGTACATGTTGTTAATTAATATTACTCAGTACATAAATATATAATTACACTGTAATTTGTAACTGTAGTTACATATAGGCTATGATGTACAGTAGTTACCATTACCATATCTTTTAAGAACATTGTTCAGTAAATTGTATTTAATTATATTACTGTATAGTAGCTTCTGTATAATATTTTATTTATAATATCAAACCATTTGGAAGAAATGCATGTTTGGCTGAACAGCATAGTGCATTATGTCTTTATAATCAATTTGGCATAATATATATATTTTAAAAATACATGCTTACTATCCATCTACAAGATTACACACATAGCACACCATTAAGAACTGGCAGTCATACGGGTGACTTCTGGGAAAGATCTACGGCTTATGATGAACAATACATATATTGATTTACTCTCTATTTGTCACCAATTTTAGGTCTTTGCTTTCAAAGCAGAGGGATTAAGAACTGCACTGAGATACTTTATAAACGAGTCAGTCTCTGTGAAATAGGATTGAAGCCCCGGGGCTATAAGGAATGGTTAAAATACAAGCTCCAGTAGTTACAAATTGGCAATAAAATTATGAAGCTGCTAGTCTCCCAGAGACGTATTTATACAGTATTCTGAGATCAAAAGTTGTTTTTTAAAGGCTCTGCAGAATGCCACCAATGCTTTTCGAGAGGTCATGTGTCCCTCAAGCCCATGCTAATCAGATACACTCACACATATTGTACACGCCGGCTGTGCTAAAGTTGCCATGTGAAAAGGTTTATCGTACTTAGTAAGAAAACTCATAGCAAGTGAATGAGTGTAGAGAGAGGTGCTCTGTTCTGAAACATAGTGAGCTACAGTACATTCAGAGAGAGAGTTTACGAAATGCAGTCCACTTTTTTTGTTAGCTTGTCAGCTAAAAAGATGTAACTGTCTGACACTGAGGATTTGCCAAATTTGCAATGTTTGTTACAATCTTGGTAGCATCATTAAGAATGGGTTAAAAATTACAATCTAATTATAGTAATAATTAGTCTTGTCTGCTATCATTTTTCAGCAAACGTGTTAATAGTTCTTTTATTATCATTACATTGCTCTATAATTTACAGACATATTTCAACTTTTCTTTGTAAGGAAAATCTAACAGTTAATGGAAAGAATTGAAGAGTTCAGATGCAAAAGCCTCTAAGTGCCATTTGAAATTTTCTTCTAAAATGATCATTTTTATCAAGCTTGTATATTTAAGTTCAGTAATTTCCCTTAAATGGCAATGAAGATTACCTATCAATTGTCATTTAAGTGCAATTACTGAACTTAAATATACAAGCTTGATAAAAATGGTCATTTTAGAAGAAAATTTCAAATGGCATTTAGAGGCTTTTGCATCTGAACTCTTCAATTATTAATTTACATATGCAAAATATATTTTATATTTCATATAAAATTGCCTGAATTTATCAAAATTCCAAGATTTGTGACAATCTGGGTAGCATCATTAAGAATGGGTTAAACATTACAAGTTAATTAATAACAACAAATCATGTATGGCAACATTTTACAGCAAAAGTATTTCAGATGTTTATATCTGCCTTGGATTTTCTTATATTTTTAGAATAAATAAAATAATAAATAAATCTGTATTTGCTGTATTTTCCTAAAAAAAAAATCTAATAAAAAATACAGATGAAAGCAGAATATAATTAAATAAAGTATTATTATTATTAGTATCATTATATCAACACTTTAAAATTTATATACTGTAAAAAAAAAATTTTTTTCATAAAAATGTGTAGTTTTGTGTTGGAAAAATCAAATTGTTTAGTTTAAGCAAGCATTTAAATATCCTTACTTTTGAAACCTGCAAATAAGCTTATTCAATAGTAAAATCAAGTATCGATGAAAAATATTGAGTGTAATTAAAAAGGATCGTTTAACCCAATATTAGCTCTAACTGTTCATTTAAGAGGTTCCATGATGGTTAGGATACTAAAATGAAGTACACCGTGAGGCGGCTCACTAGATTTTGGAACAGAGTTTGTGTGTTAGAAAGTGGGTGGGCTAAAAGTGAGAGAAAGAGAGAGAGCAGCCCTCCACATATGACAGGAACAGGTTGGCAGCCTACAGTTTGAGTTCAGTCTCAGTCTGTGGCGGGAGGAGGAGTGGTGTGGGAACAGGGTGGCATATGCTGCCCCACACCACGTTCTGGCAGTCTGATGCTTTGTACACATTAGTAAACTGTGAGGAGAAGGGGAGCAGGTGAAAACTACAGCAGTCTGTCTTTGCTGTCACCCAGCAGGATTTATACTACGCTCCCTGGAAGCGTTACTGAGACAGTTGCGTCTATGCCAGCATCTATCGTGAATGTGATATCTCTATAATGACTGGCCTGTGGTAAAAACACATGGCCACAGGAGGGTTTCCTATAAGCGTGAAATTTCTGCATACTGTATCATAAATTATGTTCTTTTGCATGTTTAACTGTCTGCAATTAAAGCAAACTTCTTTCCACACTTCCACTTTGTATTCACATCAGCAGGCGCACACACACATTTTAGCACCTTTGACAGTCTCATGAGCTCAACGCTCAGACAAGCAGAACACAGCCTGTCAGATGTTCTAAAACACAACACAAAATTCAGAAACAAAGAAATGCCTTTGAGATTACACAAACAATATTCCAAATCAAAATTCCACACTGTGCATGTCTGTAAACAATATTCCACATCAACATTCCACACTGTGCATGTCTGTAAATGCATTTGTGTTTATGTGTGTGAGGTTAAAGAGTTCACCTAAAAATGAAAATTTTGTCATGGTTACTCGCCCTCATGTTCCACACTTGTATGATTTTCTAAGTTGATTAATGCCAAGCTCCAAAATTACCAAAAAGATTTCAAGAATAGCACATATGACTTGTGTACCATATTCCAAATCTTCTGAATTTATAAAAAAAAAAAAAAAACTTTTTTGTGTGACCAACAGATCAGTGATCAGATTCAGTGATCTTCCTCCTCACTGTAGCCATTTCTGTAATCTATCTGACTTTTTTAGTCCAGTTTAGAGCCATTTTTTGTATAATGAGAACTCTTTCTTTTAAACATAAAGGCCCAAGTATACTTTATTTTCTACGTTCCGCTCCTTCTCAAAATCAAGAAGAATGTCTCTGAAACCATTGGCTTACAGTACCATTGGCTTCTCAGCCTACACATCACCTCAGAAAACTTAGAACGTAGAGTACAGATTCGATTTGGCATGATCATTTCACCATCTACCGTTTTATGGAAAAGTGCTGCTCAGATATTCAGCCTCACATCTCCATATATGTTTGGATTATAGAAGAAGGAAAATAATAAGGATCAGGAATGATGTGGGAGCGAGTAAATGACAATTTCATTTCTTCGCATGAACTTTCCTTTAAATTATTTTAAAAGCAACTCACATAATATAGTACATCAGTCCATCCTTCCATGGTGATGCACTGGAAGACTGTGAGGATGGCGAAGAGGATGTTATCGAAATTTGTGATGCCGTAGTTGGGTCCTTTCCAGTACTCTCTACATTCTGTTCCATCGGGACACCGTCTTGAGGGAGGCTCTACACCACATGGGTAATCGCCAACCTTTTCTCCTAAACAAACAAACAGAAAGAATTATGTACTGTAGATAGGCCTAAATACATAATCATTACATACATGAAGGGGAAATTACTGCAACCAAACTTTCCAAACTGGTCGAACACACACACACACACACACACACTCTCTCTCTCTCTCTCTCTCTCTCTCTCTCTCTGAGGCATAGCACCTGCTAATGTTGCTGATTGAGGGGTGAAGCGGGCTGCAGCTGAGCACATGTTAGCAGCTCAGCTTCTTATTGGAAACCTCATTACCAACACAAGCTAATTACACGCACTGTGTCGAACTGAAATAACTCACACACACATGACATTAACGACCTGTCAAGATCCCTCACACCATGGACACCGAAATATAGTACATAAATACACAAACATGTGTGCACGCACACACAAACACAGCCTCCAGCTGCAATAACACAGCTTATGTCCTCATCTTCAAGAGCCGTGCTGTGTGGATACAATAGAAAAACATTTGCTCTCCAAGCTCTCGAGAAAAATATTATGCGCAATTTTACACAGGATACGTTTTGTTTAAATATTAAATAGAGTACATGTATGTTATAATTGTACAAAAAGTACAAAATTATCATTATTAAGCCTAACATTTTTTTTATATATATGATTGTCCCCTATGATTGCAACTCACCATCTCCATCTTCAAAGAACTTGCATATCAGAGCACGATGAAACACTAATGAACATCTAAAGTTAATGGTTTCTAGATGTGTCATGTCTCTCTCACCCACATTCAGTACCTAGCCGCACAGGAAACTGCAAGGTTTTGTGGGTAAATTTCAGTCAGTTAAGAGCAAGGCAGGTGGAGGAAATTTGCATAAGCAAAAGAAGAGCCTGCGAGGACCACTGATCAGGATTTGTCTAGCTTTAGTGTTGCAAGTAAGAACAAGGGGCTAAAGAAAGCCAGAACTATAAAGCGGGAAAATGTATTGTTTTGGCAGCTTTGGAATTCCAGATCCACATTGATATTGCTCCGACATAACAGCTTACTTTTAACAGTTGAAATTTTAGGCTCAGAATAATAATAATAAGAACAAGAAATATCAGTTTAAGTAGTATAACAGTATGTTGGCTTTCTCATATTTTATTCAATAATATTTTCCCATAATAATTATGTGTATGGAGTGTGTTCCTATTTTGTCTTTGTTATTTTCTTGTGATACCAATACAGGTTTCTCTCTGCTAAAGTGTCTTTATTATCTTCATTCATCAACATAAGCTGATAAGGAGTTACTTTCCTTAGACAACCTAAATTTGTTATTATATGTGTGGTTTGAGATGGTGTGCTTTGAAACGTCTCTGACTGCAGTGGCTGTATGATTTATTTCCCGGGTCCTCTCTTAAGAAGCTTTACACTCTGATAGGAAAATTTCAATAAAAAAGAAGAAAGAAAAACACCACCAGGAAGTAGACTAACCTGTATCCAATCTAAAGCAGGTGAGGTGGAACTTGCCCATGTAGAACTCCACACCGATAATGGCAAACATAACTATGGCAAAGAAGAGCAGCAGTCCAATCTGAAGAAGGGGAACCATGGCCTTCATTATGGACTTTAATACTACTTGAAGACCTAAGGAGAGAACCAGATTTGGTTACATTTGGAATGACTGTTTCACTATATCATCATTACTACCTATTTGTAATGTCTGAATATCTGAACAAACAGTGTTAAATTAAAGTGATCTGTACTGGCAAACACTTACTTGGGATTCCTGACACCAGTTTGAGGGGTCTCAGGACTCTGACGGCCCGTAATGTTCTTAAGTCGAACTCTGAACCAACTGTGGTTAAAATCCTGTCACAAACACAAACATGCGAAATTCAGTAGAAAGCAGAGACCACCATAGACATTTTTTAGTTCAGATTAGAAGCCAATCAATATGGGATGTTTTTTTTTTTAAATCATTCCATTTGGCCTGCTTCCAATTTTGAATATTTGATTACATCCTTTTTAAAAATACTTACAATTAAACCAAACTAATTCAATATAAACAATATAACACTGTAAATAATATTATTATTCTTAAATATAATATTGATATTCACATTTTATTATTTTTATCTATTGATTTATCTATTGATAAATTGATGTTCATAATAATAACAACACTTAAAACAATTTATTGCAATTAATTTCAATATTCAATTATATTTTATAATGTTCATATTTTATTTTCTTTGTAATTTATTCATTATTTTGAATCATCACTAAACATTGAACTTAAAGATTATTCTATATACTATTTTTATACGGTTATAATTAGTGATTACTACTAATAATAATATTAATAATACAAGTTCTATTGTAAAATTTTATTGTAATTCATTCAATGGTCAATTATCATATTTTATAATATACATTTTTTTGTCATTTATTATTTTATGCATTCATCATTAAATATTGAAATTAAAGATTATTTATATAAGTATTATTAAGATTATGTATAATACAAAATTAATTTATTATTTACATTAAATTATATACGATTTTGCTTGTAAATGGATACTACTAATAATTATTATTAATATTGTTGATACTGTTAAAACTATATAATATATTATATTGTATTTTATATATTAACTATATATTATATTATATTTTATAATATTAATATTTTATTTTTGTGTAATTTATTAAATGTTGAATATAAAGATTATTTAAATAAAGATTATTTATATTATATATACTGTAATTACATTTTTATTTACATACATTATATATTAATATTACTTGATAACCGCTATAACAATAATTATCGGTCCCCAAAATGCAAGCAAAACAAGATTATTAGAAATCTACCAAGATGCCACAGTTGTCACTTTATATATTTCATTTTCTATTTTCACACACCAAAAAAAAAAAAAATAAATAAAAAATAAACATCTTTAATCAGATTGATTTAATTAAGGTAGCAATCACGAGAAACCTCTCTGAAGCAGACTGTCAGCTTTCAGTGTTGTGTGTGTTTATGTTCTGGAAAATCAGCATAACTTAATCTAATCTAATCCCATCAACACAGTGACACAGCCGAGATGACAGCCATTAGATGTTGCCAAGGCAATGTGCCTGGCTGGCGTAGCACACATGAGCCTGTGAGTCCTCAGCACCGCTGGAGTGGAACCAGCCGCACACTGAATTTGTGCAAATGTGGCCGTGAATAAGATATTCTATGGAGATATTTTTGGTGCAAAACTACTGAACGCCTTTGACAGTGGAATGTGTAGTTGTAGAGATTAGAATAGCCACTCATGTGTATCAGTACATTTGAAGTCACAGAGAGAAATGTTTTGAGACCTGCAAACATAGACTTTTTTTAACCTTTTTTTCCCGCAAACACAACACAAAAGTTACACCATCTCAAATTCTTCATTGCATGTGCACAAATCCTATTCTACAAAAGAAACTCGTACGCCCACATTTTTGCTACAGTTGCTGCAGTGAATATGGAGCAAAACGCATTTACACACCTGCATCAAAAAATGTTGTGCATCTGTAAAGGCAGTGGGTGGAGCCTACATGAATATTCATGGTTGGAGCCTACATGAATGTCTACAAGAATCACATTGAGTCTACAATTTTGCAAGTCTTAAAACATTTCTCACTGTGACTTACTGATACAAACGAGTGGCTATTCTCTACAACTACTCATTCCACTGTCACAGGCGTTCAGTAGTTTTGCACCAAAAATATCTTCATATTCTTCCCATTAAATCACAATCATCAACTCACAGCAGGCAAACTGAGTAAGCTTATATAAAAGTTACAGTTCTTATGTTTGGCAGATGAGCATCTCTCTCTTCACTGACATATGATCTGATTTGCTCATAACACGAGAAAGAATAGGAGGATGAGAGGTTGAAAGAAAGATGGATGTCTGAAAAGGGAGGAGAGGATAGCAGCAGAGGGTTGGGGTGGAGGGATCATGCAGAGTACTGTGAGGCTGAGCAGACATGCCCCATTAAATATGATAGAGCTGCCGCAACACCCCCGCAATCTATCTAACTCGCTACACAAACAGGGAGGAGGAAGAGAGGAAGAGAGCAAGAAAGTTAGACAGAGAGGAAGAGTTAGCAAAGTTCCCACATCCTTTTTTTTTTTAATAAAGTTGACCTTTTCAGGAACACATAATCTAGTGTAGCGGGCGGCAACAGCACCCTCTGCTGGAGCTGGGCAGTGAGAATCTGAGCTGCACATCTGATCTCACAGGTATGCTTAATGTAAGTTAAGGGCTACCCACACATTATGAAGAGCCAAAATCTCATTATATCCAAACATTCAAAATACACTGTGACATAGTTAAAGTTCATTATTGCCATTTGCCACAAAATCATAATCAGCATGTCACAATGACTATTTTCACTTGCAGACACTCAGGAAAAGGTATGCATTAAAGGTAAAAAAAAGATTCTTACTTTATAACTAAAATGTGTGTATGCATGGTGATATTCGACAAAAAATAAATTCAAAGAAGACGATTTTCAATCCGACTTGTATTGTTAAACTGTTCGTAGTAGGGGTGTCACGATTCTCCAAATCCTCGATTCGATTACGGTTCGATTCGATTCTGCATCTTCAGAATCGAACGATTGACAGAATCGACGATTTTATATTTTAATTCGAAGTTCGAGATTGTGAATTAATATAGATCGATTTCGATTTAAGATCGAAATCGTGACACCATTAGTCGGTAGTGTATGTAGCTAAATGACCAATGTCTACTCATTGTCTGTAGTTACCTGGAAAGAGAAATTCATGTTTATTTTGTAAGCAGAAGCCCACTGGACGACAGCTCCAAGGCTTTTGTGAATACGGAGGTTTAGTTTAGTTTGTTGGCTGTATCATTTCATCATGTTGAGCTATAACATTGATTTCTTTTATTTGCTCACCTGTCTAATAAAGTACATGCAAGAGTCCCTGTCAAGTCGTGACTCGTGTAGCTGTCAAGTCCAAGTCAGTCATGGACGCGGAGCTCTCGAAAACGCCATGCTGATATTGATCATCGTTTAATTTCTCCTTTTGTCCCAAAGTCTGCTTGCCATGGTCCATAATGTTTGAACAAAAGAACAACAGCATGTTGCTAGACGTTACGCATTACGCAGTTGTCCACATCCGTCGCCATGGTTACTATAGCAGTACAAGCGGAAATCAGGGATAACGCGGATATTACGTCATTGACAGGCGACAAGCGAACAGGGACGGGCACTTTTTAAAATTGTGAATTTCTCTGAATTTACAAATTCTTGGAAACATTTTTTTTTTTAAAAAAACATTAGTTTTTGGATATTTTGATACAAAAGTCTTGCATATTGTACTGTTAATATAAAATTTACTTGTGCATATCATTTTATAATAAGAAAAGGGCCATTTTCATAGTATAAAACCTGCAAGTATGGGCAATTTACACTCGTTAACTATTGTAAAAAATGACCGATATACAGTATATGACTCATACGATTACACTTTATATAAGGACTCTTATAGGACCCTCATGCTAAGATATCACTCTGATTGTCTGTGGTTTGGAGAGAAGACTAGCAGAAAAAGACCATTATTATTTTAAATATAGCAGGGTAGCTGCAAGCAAAAAGGAGAGATTTTTAATATCCCGCTTATCGATGAAAGAATGTATCTCTACATGAGGGCAGAAAGCTTGGGCACAGGAAATATGGCTGGGAACGATATCTGCTATTGGTCAAAGAAAGTCTCCCTCACATAAAGACACAAAGCCAAAGACAATAACACATACATACAGTACACAAAAATAGACACTGTCATGAGAAATTGGCAATCAACTCCTGCTTTACAGTCCCACACGCTAAAACAAAAATGTCAATGAGTTACTGAGTATGAGTCCAGCACATACTGAGAATGGAGACAATAAGTCTGAATAAGCATATTTTGCTGTTTCAAGCAAAGAATTGCAGTCAGATGATGAACCAGTATTAAGTAGTTGGGAGCTGAATGTTTATGAAAGCAGTCTCTGTGACTGCAGTTCCTAACACACATGTGATTGACAGCTACTGATTTTCTCTGCTACAGAGATGAAGGGCAGCTGACTTCTGTGGCACTCAACTGAAGAAGCTGCTAAACTCATGCTGCCCTCACCAGTGTTACAAACCGAAAGAGAGGATGAAGAGGGAGAAGTAGGAAAGACAGTGGTGGAAAGGAAGAGCGCGAGGGAGACTTCTCACCCTCAACGGGGGTGCCGTGATGTAATTATCTTTGCACGGTGCACATGGTGCTGGAATTGACTTTTTCACACATCTCAGAAAGAGACTTATCCCTCTCAGATGATCATCCAGTGTCAGAGGAGAGCTGTCAGTCAGCCTAGGGCATACATTGACCTCACGACCTCAACAGAACAACTGAGACCTCTTAGATCAGAGAACAAGCCTGAGCAGAATCCAAAGGGAAAAGTACCTGGAAAATGTTACAAGCAGTACACCTGTCGACAAATGATGATCTTATAGCAGTCAAGACAATCTGTTGTAAAAAATCGTATTAATATCTTTAGTGTCTCAATTGTTTAAATAGACAGCAAATGGAGAGTTAAAGCACCCTTATTATGCCATTTTAAAGGCTCTTAATTTTGTTTTGGAGTCTCCTGCAATAGGTTTACATGAGTCAAAAAACTAAAATTTTCTCACAATATACATGGCATAACCTATTTTTTCAGTGTCTGAAACGGTTCAATAAAGCATTCAGTCCCCCATCCCCTCCTTTCCGAGACTATTTTGCTCTGATTGGTCAGATGGCTCAGTCTGTTGTGAACTGTGCCTGAGTTGAAAACAAAA